AGAATTTACCTTCAACTGGGAACCTCTTGTGGCCAGGATGGGTAATTCGATGGAAGTGTCACAAGGTTCTTTGTAGGATCGACTCCAAGAGGTGATCTAAGGACTTACACACATTGTGTCCATGGGAAAATATCCAAGTCAGGAGAAAAAGTGTGCACCCAAGGAGATTCAAACCAGTATCATCCTGCCGCTGACGCCACATGCGAAGGTGTACTGATTCAGGTAAAAGTCAATCGACGGATACCCTGCGAATCGGGTCCTCCTTAACAGGAAGCCACATTGGGATGAGCTGTGCTGGAGACGAAGAGCGCACTGCTGCGAGCGGAGAACAGATCCGCCCGCCGGTGCAGGAGGGCAGCGATGCGGAGCTTGCAAGTTTGCAACTGTAGGTCTCACTATTGGCGGCCCTGGTGGAGGAGTCGATAATGGAGAAGGAGCCTGGCAGCGTCGTGGCGGATGCAGCCAGTAGTGGCGGCTGGGTTGCCCCCACCGAAGGCCAACAAGAGCCCCTGCAGCCGCACGGCGGAGGCGGGGGATTTCTCCAGCAGCAAGGGAGAGATGGTGGGCAAGGACCACGTCAGCTACTGGAAGGCGGCTGGGCCAGCAGATCGGGAGCGAATCCTGCGAGACCAGCCGGAGTGGGTCCGGGCATAGGACCAGACTACGGGAAAGCGAGGGGGTTAAACCCCCCAGGTGAGATACCCGTGATTCGAGGAAATGGAGAATTCCTCGACGGCTACAGCAGTAGCCACAGTACGAGAAAAACAGTCAATGCCCTGCGTCTCGAAGGGGAGAGTCGCGGCCATGGGTATGACTCGTGGAGAAAGTCGCTTATCCAAGCGGCCAAGACTGTAGGACTGGACGGCCAAGTGATCGGCTACAACGAGAGACATGCACCTGTCGGCAACCCAAACGTGCCAAGCTCGGAGCTGTACCGCCTCCAATACACCAGCGACGAGGTCCAGAGGGGCCTCCAAGCGTTCCATTTTGTGACCACTGCCATCGTCAGAGAAGCCGACATGGCGATCGTGAACAAATGCGAGACCGCAAAAGAGATCTTCGCGGAACTCGACAAAATCTGTGATCCGCAGTCGCAGGGTTCGAAAGAAGCCCTCATGAAGCAAATGTTCAACTTGACGATCCCCACATACAGCAGCAGAAACCATCGAGCACCAATATTCGCTCGAGCTGCTATACTTACACGTACGCGAAAAAGGGCTCAACGCTGAACAACCATTCGTTCTCGCCCACTTCGTTGATTCCCTCCCACCCGAGTACCAACAAGCGAAGTTCCTGTTGGAGACAGCAACGGCGCTGGGTAGGACCGAGATCGTCAGAATCGTGAGCACGGTGCACGCGAGCCTTCCGGAGGGGAGGAAGGCCTCGAAGGGCCAGCGGAGGGCGGAGCACGCTCTCCTCGCGAGCGTTCGTGGCGGTGGGGGAGAAGCGCCGGGCCGCGGCAACGGTGGCCGCCGCAAGGGTGGCGGCGGCGGCGGCATCCAGAAGGGGAAAGGGGGTGGTGCGAAGGCCGGAGGCGGCGACGACGTATGCGCGGTCGCTGTTTCCGGTGCGGCAAGAAGGGCCACCAGGTGGCCAACTGCACCGATAGCAAGCCCGTGCGATGTGAGACATGCAAGGGCTACGGGCACGACAAGAGCGAGTGCCCGACCGAGGGGGCGGTGCTCGTGGTGAAAGTGCCGGCGCGGGGGGCGTCTGCGAACGCCACAGCACTGGACGTGGCAGCAGAGGCGCTGGTAGTCGGTGGCATCTCAGGCGAGTGTCACAAAGTCGTCGGTCGAGGGGGTGTAGAGCAGGCTAGGCGGGGT